AACCAACACTGTTCCATGATGTCGAAAAAAAACCTTTCGTGTCACAGAACCAGTTGAAAAATCTGAACTTCACATATAGTGAAACAAGTCAATGCATGGAACTAACAGCATTAGTTCAGAGAAAGAGAAACCCTAGTATGAACAACCCTTAACATATCTGGAATCACTCTAAAACAACAAAAGGAAAAAAAAAAGGACTCATCGGTAAAGAGAATTTGGCTTCAGCCCAACATATTCCAAGCATTACAATTACTGTAACACTGCAACTGCATGCATTTTACAGCTAAAAAAAACTGAAACACATATTATGTATTTCCTAGCATAATACAGCCCTTGTTAATGCAGACTGTCATTCATGTATATCTGAATAGTGGAGTTCTCATAGCTACAGCGAACTCTCTTGCAATCTGGACTGACATCAGTTATTTATTTCTTTTAGTAATCATTCCCAATTCACAGTAGAATCTGTTGTAGCATATTTCAACCCTGACCTGGTTGTCTGTAGACATTACCAGTGTCTTTAAACCACATATTCTTGACATAATGCTTTTGTTTACTTTTATGTCCTTACAGAAAGTGAATGCCTGGATGAATCTTCGGATTATGGTAACTTGGCGATTTTTGCGAAAATTTGGAGACGCCATTTTGTTTTCATGAAGTAAAGGTATGCATATATATATTTTATTCAACATTTTTTCCAACAATCTGCTAGCCGAATTACGCTTATGCTAGAACTTTCATGGAAAAAAAGTGCTTAATCATGACCAAGATTAGGTGCGAAATTGGGAGAAAGTGCAGAATCGCCCACTGCTTCGCGCCTTTTTAAGAACTGCACATACGCGGTATCCATGTACATGTCGACCTATTTTCACTTAAAAACATCCCAGAATTGCACAAAAATGGCGTTGCGCACAGGCTTGACTTTATCCATGTACACATCGACCTATTTTCACTTCAAGAGTCAAAGAAAATTGACAAAATATCCAATTCTTCTTACTCTTGTAAAAAGCGCCAAACAAATAAGTGGGCGATTCTGCACTTCAGCAGCGAAATTGTTTCTCTAAGTGCTTATTAGCTCAAATCACGATCGGAATTTTCCGGAAAATGAAACATGACATGTCTCATGATCTCTCATTTCTCCGAGACAAAATAATCTGCGATTCGAACTGTGTACTTCTCAGATTATTGTTAAAGTCCTACCTAGTAACCTTTGTCGCCTTACCAAAATGTCGCCAAAACTACCTGTTACCATATTCCAAAGATTAGCCAATGCCTGTCCTGTTTCCATCCCCACAACTGCACACCATTTTTCATAATCCACCAAAGACTTGCTCAATATCATAGACCACTTTCCACACCCAAAAATCTTATCCAGATGATAATACAATTCTTTGAAATTAGAATTGTAAGCACCACCTTGGCCACTCTTTTCCACGTGTGCCAAAAGAACAGGTGCAAAATTTACATACTTTTCAGCAGCAAAAGGTAAATTCTACTGGACTACAAGATAACACTGATCTTCAAGCTATCATTCATTGGACCTCACCTAACAGAATTAATGTAAAACACCTTTTCATAGTTGTCCCATTGATTTCTCCCATCACTATATTTACAGCCATCAAGCAGACTGTCAACAGGAAAACATGCATATATGAGAAATAACCTCAGGAAAACATATATAAGAAATAACCTAACAGCTGAATATGCAAATCTAAGGCATAACCTGTCACACATGACTTTCAAAAGCATGTTTTCATCATCAATACACAATTTGTTTTCATCAGTTTAAAATGAAAATGCAGGTGCTCATGATCATGATTATTGCAAGAAGAAAACAGTGTGTGCATGTGTGAATTCCTGAATACCAGCATTGCAGGCATTTAGGAACTTAATTATTTATTTATTTAGGAACTTTTATTCTCTCTCACCTTTAACTGTAAGTATAAGAAACAAGACTGTATTTAACTGAACTATTTATTCTCCATTTATAATTAACTGCTTTTCTTATTCTGATCATTTTTTGATTGCATTATGTACATTTTTGTTTATGTCATACTACCTGGTGATTTTTGTTTTGCTGTATGTTTTTGCAGACAAGTAGACAACTGTCTATATTTTATATTATTCCTATTTTATAGTAATTTTTATTAATTACTGTTATTTCTTATTTTAGTTTTGCATACTTTATTTATTCACTTAAGAAGCACAAAATATAACTACTTTTTTCAGTGCATTTATTTTTATTTCATATTTCTCTGTTTTTGAAGAGGGTTTCAAAAATGAAACTAACATAAATCAAAAGAAGAGAAATTACCAGCAGTGATTTAGTAAAAAGGGAAGCAATTTTGAAATAAGCAAATAAATGCTTCGGTTAAAAAAAAAAAAAAAAAAAAAAATCTAGTTTTGAGCCAAACCTGTAGGGAAAGTAATAAGCCAAACTACACCACTATAGTGCCAAAAATGCATGTTATGGCTGTAACAAAAACATTATGTACATTATTATGGCTGTAACAAAAACATTATGCATTATGTACATTTTTGTTTATGTCATACTACCTGGTGATTTTTGTTTTGCTGTATGTTTTTGCAGACAAGTAGACAACTGTCTATATTTTATATTATTCCTATTTTATAGTAATTTTTATTAATTACTGTTATTTCTTATTTTAGTTTTGCATACTTTATTTATTCACTTAAGAAGCACAAAATATAACTACTTTTTCAGTGCATTTATTTTTATTTCATATTTCTCTGTTTTTGAAGAGGGTTTCAAAAATGAAACCAACATAAATCAAAAGAAAAGAAATTACCAGCAGTGATTTAGTAAAAAGGGAAGCAATTTTGAAATAAGCAAATAAATGCTTCGGTTAAAAAAAAAAAAAAAAAAATCTAGTTTTGAGCCAAACCTGTAGGGAAAGTAATAAGCCAAACTACACCACTATAGTGCCAAAAATGCATGTTATGGCTGTAACAAAAATGTAGGTTTAATAATAGTATCCGGTGCACACAAGATTTAGCTGCTTTTGGCGACTATGACGAGCAGTAAAAATGGGACATATACGATGAGTAGTAAACGGGTCATTCAAAGAATATATATAGTTATATATAGTATATATTATGTATATATACGCACATAGTATATAGTGTATAGTATATTTTCGTTCTTTGAATCATTTTTGGTGTTGGCGATAATTTTCAAAATCGCGCCAAGGGTGCACCGTATACTAGGATTTTACCAAAATGTATCTTACATCATACCTAATAAGCCAATTTAAAGACATCTTAAAAAATACTGATAAACTATCATTAATTATACTGACAACTGTATGCTGAATTGAAAACAAGAGTGACAACTTATTGCAATCTACAAATAATTTCTAATGCATACTGTATAAAATTCAAATCATTTGACGTCGAGCCAAAAAAAATTGTTTTTAATTACAATAAATTTATATATTCGCAGTATTCTATCTGACATGAACCTACATTACTCCCTTTTTTTTAGCTTCAAATCTCTATATCTACGTGTTAAGTAAAATGCAAAAAAAAATTTCCCCTAAATTACTATCCTAAAAATCACAACCATTTTATATGTGAATACTAAAAAAATTATGTTATGATACTCTAACTTCTTAATTTTAATTTAAAAAGAAAATCGGGTTGGATCCTAGCAGAGCCCACACCCTTTTCGCGCCCACTTATATAGCATGTACATGGACAAAGTCAAGGGAGTGTGCAGTGCTAAGTTTGTGAAATTCCAGGATGTTTTTAAGTGAAAATAGGTCGATGTGTACATGGATACCGAGTTTCTGCAATTCTTTGACTTATTTTCAAGTTGACAATTTTGAGAAATGCGTGAAGCAGTGGGTGATTCTGCACTTTCCCAGTTTGTCGCCAAGGGTGTGGGCTCTCCTAGGATTTTACCGAAAATTGTATTATGTCTAGTTCTGATGTTTCAAATATTTAGTTATCTACCTTGTAGACTATCAAACGAAGTTGTGTTAGGTGCAAGCACTTTTTTTCCTTATAAAATATCTTGAAAAGTGCACATTCCTTTCACATGTGAAATTCTCTGATATTCGGAACAATACCTTGCATTATGGGTAGGTATTTTTGCTTCTTAACGGGCCGGAATCATTTTGTTTCTGAATATTCTGTAAATATGCACAAAGCTTTTCAATAAAACTAATGTTAATCTGAAAATGGGACTTCTCTACACTACACAACTAGTAACTGGTTGAAAATACTCCAGAATTAAACAAAAAAATTAATAAGTCTAAAAAAACATTTGCTATCCAGTTATCAATTACTTAGTATAATGACATAATAATGCTTATTATAATAATCTTTAAACAGGTTAGTTCCTCTCAGTTATCAATTTAAAAATATAGCAAAGCAAAAAATTTAAATATTTTAGTTACTTTATGATGGAGGCATAAATATGGTTAAATCAAACATATCCTAAAACTATACCACTGTTGAAAACTACATAAAATGATCTAAAATTGGAACTTTCCTTTTTCAACCATAGAAACGTAATTTTCTATTCGAGTATTTTCGATATATGAATAATATCACTCAGGGTTATAAACATTCTCCCTAGTAAAAGCAAATAAACATCAGATGTTGATATTAGTGAGATGTGTACTAAATGCTTGACAACCAAAACTTTTATTCTGAATCGCGGAAACGTTATTTTCTGTTCGATCAATCTGAATATAAACGTAATATTACTGAGGTAATTTCAATTAATATTTTCCCTAGCAAAAGCAATAACCATCGGGAGCTAATTATTACAGAATGATTTTGTTTCGTTTCAGTGCAAAAGTTAATCATCATTCATTCAAATACAGAAGTCGAAAAAATTCATGTGCGAGCATCTGTGTGCATACATTTATACGTCTAAAATAAGAAACAGTGAAATGTACCACATACATTTAATATACATTAAAAATAGAAATAATATGTGCGAAATGTGGTAAAAATTTAATTGTTCTCACCTGGAAAACTGTGCCCCAGGCATTTCTCCTATCAATGTCTAAAAACTCTGTTTCCATGTTAGCTATAAATTATCACAGTAGTAATGCAATTATAAAATAGCCATTTAATACTTTATAATAAGCATTGAGTCAATTTATTCCGACATAATGATCCTTTACATATTAAGGTTAAATTTTGAAATAAATGAAAGACGATGCAACCTTCGACATTCACACACCAGCAGGAAATCACGCACAGGAAAGCCACACCAACTTGTTTAATCGTCTTGGACAATATTTTGAAAATTTTATATCATTTGAAATAATCACATTAATAAAATTATCAAACATTAAATTGACTTTAAAAAGTTTTTTTCCAATAAAACAATAAATTACTGTTTTGGGGATAAATTTTACACTGCCATGCACAAAATTCGTTACAATACCAGATACTTATACCCTTCGCACATATTGATGATGTCAAAATAAAAGCTGATACGTTATTATTCATGTATAATTATTGTTGATATATAATTCGTTCCATGATAATGTTTTATTCGTAAATGATTATGAGTATGATTATTAGTAATGACATATTCATTATTTGACATACAAAAAGAAATTTTCATTCAAAATCTGATAATTAGCAGCTATACGTAAGCGAAATAAATGAAAATTCATAGGGAAAGGAATTTTTGTTTGATAACTTGTGAAATTTTGACATCATTATTTATGGAATTACTTTCTCTTTCGTCTTAAACTGGTTTGCGTTACCAGGGGAAAAAAAAAAAAATTAAGTTAAAGTGAACCTTCGGAAAGTTAGAGCCTCCTATGCTTTCGTTGAAGTGAGCCTTGGAACGGTTTTAGTGAATGGACCCTCTATGATCTTACAGTTTCTTCCTCTTATAACATGAACTGGCTTGCATTCTGGAAAAAAAAAAAAAAAAAAAACCGATTATGTTAAAATGAACGAATCCCCTGTGACCTTGTAGTCTCTCTATATATAATCTATTTTCCAAGATTGGTTATTATATAAAACACAATTCCAAGGTTGGTATATGAACTGTATTCAGGAGATGGTTGACTTCGGTTTTAACAAAAAAGATTATCATCGCAAATATATTTATTTTATCATTCACTTATTAACCATTCCGTAGTTATAGAGGAGCAATCTGGCCCCTAAACTTTTTAAATTCTCAATCACAACGCTATAAGATCTGTTACAGAAAAAAAAAAGTACTTCATAAAGATTACGTGATAGGATTTCCATGACAGAAGGACTTTTCATAAGTTTCATTCTCATTTCCAGGGGTATTTATTACCATTACTCTTCCACTACATTTCAAAGTTCATCAGGCTTAGGGCTTAGAAAGATTCCAAGAAGCCAAAAATAATCTACAGATTAAACATCAGGGTTCTTCGCAGGAAAACTTTGAAAAAGTATACATGCAATATCTGTATTACTCTTCATTTTGTCAAGAAATGCACTTGTACTTTTCAAAGTATGACTTGTTGTTTTGCTTTGATGAAGTTTCACTCCTCGTAAGTCTAAATGGAACTTCTTCTGATTTTCTAACATTAATTCTAACATTTTTTATTCCCGCTCATTTTATTTTATAAGTTTTTCAGTTCCTGTTATAAGAGAATCCTGCGCCAAAAACTCCTTACTGAAACTTTCTTTGCATTGAAGTAACCATGTTTGTACAAATTTTCTCTTCGTTTTCGATAATAACAGACCTTTTTTAATGTTGCAGTCATTTAGATCAACCCATGCTTCATGAAGGGTCACAATGTATTTCCATTTATCTCCTAAGTGGTTTTCATATAGGGTTCTACAACTTGTTCTGCGTTGAGCCACATGCGCAGACAAAATCTGGTGATCATTATGTTTTTAGCTTTTTTAAGCTGTTAATTTTGGCTTATTATTTCAATTAGTGTTGCTACAGATATATTAAAAAACTTTAAAACTGTTTTCTGCGTCGACGGCTTTCTCGTTACCAACGATTTAACTTTAGAAACATTAGAAACAGTACGAATCTTTTTCGGGTATTCTTTCCATACAGAAGTAATGACTGACGGTTTTTCCCTTTCTGATTAATAATGCTGCTAATTTTTCACTTAGAAATTTCAGTGTCATGCATTTTACAACGTTTTTGAATTATGGAATATGAACATTTCTCTTCGGAAAATGCAGAAGCATATCCTTCAATCCACAGCTTATTTACATGCGACATACTGAAAGAAGAATAAATTTAAACGTAGCGGACGATACCTCAGATTTTAATTAATAAGCTTATAAGGTATTTCTCCCGCCTTGTTAGCATGCCTTCGTAGTGTAGTGATCAGCATGCTCGGCGCATGTTCGAGAGGTCCGTGGATCGCGTCCCAGAGAGCGCATTGCTCATTTTTCATTTTTTTTTTTTTTTTTTCTTTTGAGAAAAACTAATGTCTCTACAGCGGCTCCAGAACTAAAAGGGTGGTGGATGATGATTCTCCAAAACCACGATTTGGCGATTAGGTTCCCTAATCTCCAGTCGCCCTTTAAAAGGGGGAGTATATAAGGTATTTCTTAGCATGCCTTCATAGTGTAGTGGTCAGCACTCTCGGCGCGTCTTCGAGAGGCCCGTGGTTCGAATCCCGGCGAGGGCATTCCTCATTTTTCATCTCTTCAACAAAGATGCCCAGTAACTTTAAGTTTTCGAAAAGATGTTATAATTGTAATTTATAGAAATGAAATGAAACGTTTTCGTTTAATTTAGAGAGCTTTTCATTAATTTAAAAATACCAAATTTTGATTTCAGATTACCATTAAGTATGAGTCAGTTAACTATCAAATGAAATTCTCGAAATATTCAGGAAAAGTACTCAAACGAAGGGAACTATGCTAATTTCTTCTAAGCTAACCATGCATGAAAGATTTCTAAAGCTATTAAAATATCAGGATATAACAAAGTTCCCGGCCACTGCAAATATGATCTGCACAAAGAGTTCGCGTTGTCGTGTTTAATAATATTTTGTTAAATTTAGAGCATTATTAGAGCAAATTTAAAGCACTTTTGTTATGAAATTTGTAAAAACATATCATTATCATTAAAGTACAAGGTGTCTGAAATGGAACTATCACGCTACCAGACTAGTATTTACTTCTAGACTAGTATCTACTAGACACCATCATTTACTTCTAGTTCTGTTGCAAAAAGTCAACTACAGAATGTCACCAAATTATGTATGCTGCTTTAGGTACTAATGTTGTGTCATATGACACTGTGAAGGCTTAGTAACAAAAGTTGAAAAACAAGGACTATGACATTCAAGAAGCAGAGCGCTCTGGCTGGCCTACTGATGTCGATGAGGCTCGCCTGCGAGAACTTGTAGAAGAAGACGAGTATGCAACCATTCGAGAGCTACCTAAGGAGTTAGACGTCCATTACTCGCGCTATGCATCGCATAAACTCGGCATACAAGTTCAGTTGCTGGGTGCCGCATGAGCTTACTCAAGCAGACAAGGATAGACGTGTTCGGGATTGCACTAACCTGCTGGAATATCAACACAAGGACAAAACTCTGGACCTGATCGTCATTTGTTATGAAAAGTGGATTTAATTCAACAACAGAGGACGGAAAGTCGATTGATCTGCCTCCACTGAGCCCGTCAGCACCCTCGCAAAGTGCAGTTTGACTAACAAAAGGATCATGTGCTTTGCGTCTGGTGGGATTGCCATGGTATTATCCACAAAGAGTAACTGGAAAAAGGTAAAACCCTGAACAGTAAAGTGTACATCGAGATGCGAGTCCGTGTTGACGCCGCTATTAAGGAAAAACGTCGAAGTGAGTTCCGGTGCAAAAAGGTAATGCTCCGTCAAGATAATGCAAGACCACATGCGTCTGCAATCTCCAGCTGGACCCTACGGACTCGAATAGGATGTTTTGTCGCACCCACGATATAGTCCCGAAATCGCTCTTTCGAACTTCTACCTTTTTTCACACCTGCAGTTACATCTTACTGGTGCTGTATTCCATTTTGCACAGGACATCCGAAACGATGTTTATCTGTTTTTGGGCTCGCGGCCACTAATTTTCTAGGCCAAAGGCTATGAAAAACTACCAAAATGTAGTCATAGATTTGGGTGACGATTACTACCCGCACTGTAGGCACTACCTTCATGTTTTTTTTTAATCTTTTTTTTTTCCGGAAAACCTTCGTTACAACCAGATATTAAGTAAATATAGGTTATTAAATTTTTAAAAAATATCTTCTTATGTCTTTTAATTTTTTAAAAACACCTACATTAACTATCTAAATAGTTTAATGTTGAGCCTTTCATTTTTTTTTTCAAAGTTTGAAAGAGGATATCTTGCTTGTAAGACAAAAATACCGGAAATACTATTTATTACAGTGGATGCACTTAATAACGAATCTACCATTACAGTGACCGGAACAAAAAGCCCCCAATGGCACAAGCGCCTGGCCCCAGCCACCACCCCTGTTCTTATTGGTTGCCGTTTATGACGTCAGGCTGAAAAAATTCCATTATCTGTTTCGTTTGAGTTATGTCAAGTGGAACTTACAACTACTTTGGCCTTTGGTTCATGTCCTGTGTTAATGTGAATTTGTGCAGTGTAACAGAATATTTGTAAATTAAAACGAAACCTAACAGTATAAGAAAATATGTCGGCCACTTTTTAATATTAAATTGTTAATCTAGTTAATTGGAATAGATAAAACTTTAAAATGCGTAAATATTGTTTGGCTAAGCAATCTGTATTCAGTGCAATTCATAGCGCTATACTGATATTTAAGAAATGTATTGTATAATTTAATACAGTCAAAAGTCTTTAATCCGGACTCGTCGGGACTTCGGCGATTCCGGATTATCGATTTTTCCGGGTTATAGATCATCAGTTTAAATCTGGTAAGATGGCATGCAGAAATTATAAAATTAAAAATATGAAATCGTAATTTATAAAATAATGAGCAATTATGATCTAAAGGGTATCAAAATTTACCAAAAAAGAAGCCTTAATATTTATTTGTTTACTTTATTAAACATTTCTTTCAACGCGCGGATGCGTAAAGCATACATTACGCATAGCCGAAATTAGAAAATTGCAACCAGAAAACTATTGGATTTGTATTCGTGATATTTATAATGACGAGGAATTTGATTTAAATCATATCAAAGACGGAGTACATCGAGATGAAATACTACATTTAGTAAGGAATTATAAGCCGAATAAAATAAAAACATCTGCCCTGAAGATAACGATAGTGTTGACAAATCAACTTCCAGTTCATTGCGCACCGCGACGTCTTCCCCCCCCCCGCGCAGAGCAGCGTGAAATTGATAAACAGATTTCGGAACGGTTAGATAAACAAAGAATATGCCTTTATCCATTTTTTGTAGCAATTCGTTTTTGTTTGATGGACATCGAAACATACTTTCGTTTTCTAGATCCTTTGGGAGCTCCAGCATCGGAAATT